TTCCAACCCTCTGGTTCAATACACTCTTCATTATTACTATTATATTATTGCTAGTTTTATTCCATCTTATTATTGTTGCTTTTTGCTAACACTCTGGCTAAATACACTCTTAATTATTACTATTATTTTATTAATAGTTTTATTCCATCTTATTATTGTTGCTTTTTGCTAACACTCTGGCTCAATACACTCTTAATTATTACTATTATTTTAGTACTAGTTTTATTCCATCTTACTATTGTTACTTTTTATCACAACACACCGATTTTTATCACAATTCACTTTAATGATATGTTTAGTTTTTTATTACAATTCCAATCATCACTTTTTAAAACAATAAACATTGCCGTGGAATGAAGGCAGTTAAAATAATAGCCGTGTCAAGGGAAAAATAACCCTTTTGATACATTGTTTGTTTTGTTTTTTACGTTTTTTTTGTTTTTTTTTGTTGTTTTTTTTTGCGTGCCTGAAGATCTGATTTTGCCGACAATTTAAACTGATCATTGTATTTTCTGTGTATAAAAAATTTCCACATTACATTCAAACAAAAGTATCCATAATTAATATATTGATCCGAAGCAGAGCTCACAGATACACGAACTATGACGGAAGTACTGATCCATTCAGAAAACATCATCATTTTTAAAAACGGGATGTTCATATGAATTATTAAAACTATTAATAAACAAGGAGTAATGCTGATGATGGCATTGACCATGAGTCGTAGTAAAAAAAATCAACAATAATAAGATTGAATAAAACTAGCTATTCAAAAATAGTCATAGTAATACTGAAACACGACGTGTTGTGATAAAAACTGACAATAGTAAGATGGAATAAAACTGAAGTCACGCACTTTATCTAGCGGCGTTTCCATTAATGGAATCATTCCTGGAATTCCTTTCTTGGGGTAGCGAGCAGCTGCCTCGTTGCATTTTCTCGGATTTCCTCGACGTCTTGAAATCTTTTTTTCTTTCAAGTGGGATTTGATTTTTGAAGAGCAGAATGTAGCAGGGGGTCAATTCTAAGGAATATGGTTGTTGTCAGACGAAGGGTATGTTGTGGTTGGCCCCAACTCACTGCGCAATCCACGGCTACTGATGAAACCTCTGCAGTGTGGGATTAGACGACCACACTCTACACACTTACCTTCCAAGGACTATTATAAACTCACTCTACCTACTTTTAGCTCCGTTACTATAGCAACATCCCGATACTTTTTTTTTTATCAAATCTCATATATATATATTTGAATGGATGTTTTATCTGACATTATTTCTTATTACTGTAGATGTTACTTTTTAGACGATACAAGTTGCTATCCTTATGTTTTATTTTCTTAAATAGTAAAATTAATAAAAAAACAACAAATCAAACACATGTACCCAACAAATATATAGTTGGTGTATGCATGATATGTACAGATCAACTACCCTTGTAACATCTTAAACTTGCCAAAAGGTTATAAATAAATAATTGTTACTGACCGCCTAATGACTACGTGAAAATGCATGAAACTTTTAGTTGTGGCCGACCATTGTTCACCGGGACTTCATGCATTGACCTCTGTTACTCTTGTGTGTGTTTGTAGCAGACTCTCTTAGGGGTTGTTTATTTTATTCAAATTATATATTCAGGCCGGTTATCTAATGCTGTTTATTATCAACAGAATATTTACTTAAATATTTGTGTCTATATAAATAACGTATAACTATACATATATATATATATATTAGGATAAACGTGCAATCAATTTACAAATACATGAATTATTCACACAAAAACTAATGCAAAGGTTAATGATTTAAATGGCGAGACATCCATCATCGCAAACAATTCAAATAATATACAAAAACCTCCGAATCCGTTATGAATGAAATGACCCTTGTTTATATAAATTTCTGCCGTATTAGTTCTTATTTTTACTACAAGCTTTCGTCTGTTCCTACAGACATCTTCAGGTATAGAATAGATGTTGTTCTTGTTTTTTCTCTTAGTAATAAGAGGACAACGAAAATATATGTGTATTGTTGTATCCGAAAATGCTATTGAAAATGAGTTATTGTTTTTGGAACGCGCAGCATGAAACAGCCTGTCGCCTCTGAGTGTTGACTTCAATGTTCACTTTTATATTTATATTTACATACGCTCTATCTCTGATATTGAGCACTTAATCCCATAAATATAGCACACCTTAAAACTATACTTCTTCATATATATATATATAGAGAGAGAGAGAGAGGGGGGGTGATCGATAAATTGTCGTCTAAATTACAAACGATGCAAATAACACCGCAATCTCATGTTAACAAATATATTTACCAAAATTACACAAAAATATCTTGAAATACTAAAGAGTAATTATATTCAATAAAATCACCAATGGCTTCAACCATGGCCTCCAGACGTCTTCGGAATATCCTGCATCTAGTCTAGGTGGTCTCCTTGTATAAGTTGGTGAATGCTGCCATAATCCTTGCCTTCAGTTTATCTTTGGTGTTACAAGGAGTTTTGTTGATCTCTCACTCAACTGCGCCCCACAGAAAATACTCAAGAGGGTGCAGTCTGGGAAGTTAGGTGGCCAGATGTAAGGGGTGATGTAGTCGCAGAAAT